GGTTTGGCTGCTTTTTAATAACTCTTAAGGTTTTACAATTTTTACCACAATACAGGTTTTAGTTTTAAGGGGCAAATATTGCCTACCTTTCTTTATTTTTTGTTGCTGGTTTTACATTCACCTGGTAAGCAGTGAAGAGTCAGTGATTTTGGTCTAATCTTTCTCTGTATCTGTTTGTTGCTGGTTTTGTCTCCAGTCACAGACCGAAGAGGGGAATTGGAAATACCCTCCATTTATCTTGTAAATGGTAAATTGTAAATGGACTGTACTTATATAGTGCATTTCTGTTTTATTAAGATACTCCAAGCACTTTACACTACAATCATTTACCCATTCATACAGCACTCTACTAGATCTCTACAAAGATTAATCAGTATTTTACCACATTCATACACTGATGGGACACACATCAGAGGCAATGAGGGATTCAGTGTCTTGCCCAAGGACACTTCAGCATGTGGCTGCTGGTGGAATCGAACCCCCAACTCTTGCATTGGCGGACAACTGCTCTAACCACTCAGCCACAGCCGCCTGTCTATCCGTCTTGTGAGCTGGATAACTTGAAAAATAAGTGTTACCAACTTCCATTTTGGTACGTGGCCGTATGTAGGTGTCATTAATGTCCCAAGTGAAAAATTGGGTTGCCACATCATAATCCTAAATGGCTGCCACCAAATATTTATATATGCAAACCTTGTGAGGTGTATAACTTGAAAAATAAGCCACGTCCAGACTTCCATTTTTAGTGTAGCTGCATCTAGTGGTAAGAAAGATCACTATAGAAAATTGGATGCCACGTTAAGTTCATAATTTCCACAGCCATGTAAACCAACCACCTCCATTTTTTGAGGAAACTGTTTTCTAGTTTTACTATCTTAAAAAATGATGTTTCCTCAAATGATTGGTTGGAGTGACTGACTGCGGGGGTTGCTGAAGTTTAATCTATAGTGTCCACAGCCACCTTTGGCCAACCCCTGGCTTCGCCGTTACGCCCTTGTAGTGGATAAAATTGCTTCCTCCTCAAACTAGGCTCCGCCCTCTCTTCTTAAACACAATGTCACTCCTACCCATATCTTGAATCAAAAACATTGATTTACTTGCATTTCCTGTTAAATTCAATCCAGAAAAACTCCTCAAAAACTACAAACATTCACTACTCAAATCCCTCAGCTATGGGTGCCACTGGCATACTGCTTGTTTACTTTTAGGAAGCATCTGCTATAATTGTGCTTTGAAGGGTTTGTTAAAAAAAAAAAAAAGGCTTTGGTTTTAAAGTAAATTCTGAGGTGATCCATGCCTGTTACCCAAAACCCACAGTTGGGTTTTGCCAGCTGGATGAGCCATCAGTGTATGTGTCGTTTACAACAGACTGTGATGGATCAGCTGTAAAGTACCCCGGGGCAGCTGAGGTTGACAGCACGTCTTACTTGACTTCCTTTTCTTGGAATTTCTCAAGGAAGTTTTAAAAAATTGAAATGGAAATCTCCTCATGGAAGATTAAGAGAATTTTAGTTCATGTGAGGATTGGTACTAATGTCCCCATTAAAGCCTCCCCGCTCTTGTTCCCAAAGGTGCAGATAACCCTGGAATGTTCTGGACATGTGTCAAACAGCTGCTCCTGCCTCCTCTTTAACTTGTCGGCTTTCTCTCCTCTGTTCCACACAGAGTGATTGATATGGTGACTTATTATTTCTGGGGAAAGGCGAGGATGTCTGTGAAATGTTTTCGTATCCCTTTTGTTAAAGCTATGACTTTCTGAAGGACTGTGTGTGTGTCTCTTGTGGTCGGTTACTGCATTCACAGATGTGACTTGGTAGTGAGCAGAAGGTTTTCCACAGACCTCACCAATATTCCAGGATTTTAGTGGAAACTTTCAAAGACATTTGATCTGAAAGAGCACCAGGCTAGTGTTGGAGTTCAAAAGAGTTTGATATCATAGTAAGGCTGTGACTCGAATATCTTGTGCCCACAATATGTGTTTATGAAGAAGATATATTCACACACACATACAAACACCCTTTTTTATAGTAAATTCTGTTTTCATTGGAGTTCCATTGTATGTCACCCCTTCATGAGATGCAAACTTACTGAATTCAAACCATCAGTAGGTGAAACCAGATCCTTCCACAGTTCAGTCTTGGAGCAGTTGTTTTAGAAAAATCAAATGAGCCTGCCTCGAGATCAAATCTTTCCATCAGATTAGATCAGTCTCCCTCGATGAGTTTATTGGTGGAATTCCTTCCCCTTAAACTGTTTTCATTTCTCTCCAACTTTCTGTTTGACTCCAGGTCAGAAGTGATCGCAAAAAGAAAGTTCAAGACTTTATGAACTTTACTCACTTGGCTGCAATCACATTTGACTTATTTATTTATTTTTGTTTAATCTTCCAATTACCTGCACTCAAATACATGTGAACTTAATTATTTGCATGCTGTACATGCATATATCAGTACGAACAAAGAATAAAGTCAAATAAGTGTTGCTAAATGTTTCAGTTTACCGTTACAACTTTAATCCTAAAATGTCCTAACCTTACAGCCGGAGTTTTCACAGCATATTTCTTGCACAAACATCAAATTGATGAAAACAGATCCACACACTCCAAAAGCCAAAATTCAAAATGGATCAAAGTTAGTTTTACCTGTTTTGATGCCAGTAGTGGCAGCTGATGTTTTCCTGCAGTTATAGTTTTGTGTGTGAGTTGTATGTTGTCTTCACAGAGTTGCAGTGCTCACGACTCATTTCCCTGTTTTTCTTTGTCCCAGTGCTTGAAGGTGCTCCCCCTCACTCGCTCCTTCTGCTGTGTAGCTGCAACTTGCACAGATTTAATCCAGGCCTCACTTCTCAAAGATGTGCTTCCCTGTAACGTTGTAGGTGTCCTGGGGCTCGGGCAGCTACATGATTCAAAAACCGGCCACTTCAGCTGTCTGTGCTCCAACTGATGCCTTCAGTTTTTCACAAAGGCTAGGGGGAACCCAGAGGAGGGGAGGAGCCATGAGTGTTGAAGATTACATTTTTTTCCTCTTGCTTGCTTCATTTTTTAAAGTTGCCCTGCCTACATCTGATGTCATTCTTAATGGGGACAAAAGACAAAAAATAAAAAGAGTATAACAAAGCAGTCTCTTTAAATTTCCCCTCCCTAACAATAGCAGCTGTGGTGCTCCTAAACTCTTAAAGGAAGTGGTTTGAGTTAAAGGACACCCAACCTACTGGAATCCAGACTTTGCTGACGTATAAGCAAAGGCATGAGCTGTTTTGACACTATTTGTCCTAAAGCACATTAAATTAGTTTAAGCTGCCCTTTTTTAGCCACGAGGGGAGCTGTTAGTAACGCTGCTGGGTCGGGTGTCGTCCTGTCAAACAGCTTGGTCCTGAAGCAGGAAGATGAATCTGATTTGTGGTGCTATTGAAGCAGAATGCTTATCCCAGGTGTCGTCTGAGGTTGTCTGCCATTTGCTTTCTTTTATCATCACTCTCATTTATTGTTTGTTTCTTAAACATGGACTAACATGATATTCCTAACTGTCTTTAGATGATCATCTTAGAAAGCAGAAACTCGTTTTCTTTTTTTTGAAACCACATCCCTTTTTCTTATTGATACCCCGTTTTACCGCAGTTGAGCACATTTAATGACTCTGTACTTTAACAAAAAGCTTGAATCTTTGTACAGATAGTTTAGGCAGTGTAGGTTTAGGCATGACGAACAGCTGTTATCCCTCGCATGTTTACTGGAGAGCAACTGTAGCAGTGACGCCTCTGGCATCCCTCTCCCTCTTCTTCACATTTCTCATGTACTATTTTACAGCCAAGTCTTGTAAACTGCTTCTTGTATTCCCTCATTGTCTTTTAATCAGATTCTATGTGTATACAAATATATCCGTATAAAATATCCTTAAGTTCAAGTCAGTTTTATTGCCATTTCCATCACGTGGTACATGAGGTGGAACGAAATTGTGTACTCAGGGTCCCAGTTACACACAGAAAGTAGCAAAAAATATAAAGTATAAAGAGAAACCGTAAATAAGGATCTAAGATATACACTAAGCGAACGCCAAACAGTACGGTAAAAGATCTAAAATATAAGTTTTACATTATAAGTGTTTAGCATATATCTTATCCTAGATCTAAGATATACACTAATAAGGTAAAACAATACGGTGTAACAACAGCAGCCCGAGACACATAAGACACATTTCTACCATTTTCTTTTCTGGGACTTTCGATCCTGCAGTTTTGTCTGCCTGCATATTTTTGTAAATCTATTTCCAAACACAAATATCTGAGAATCACTCTGTTTTTCTCGAGAGGGAGTATTTTTTTTCCTTTAGTCTGATCTGTGATAATTTTTCAGACATCTGCATTCAATTGTGAGCGTGGTGTGCGAATGAAAACGTTGAGTGAGACGAGGAGAATAGGAGACAAATGGCACCATTGAACTGCTTCTGAACAGTATTAATCTCAATCGCAGAACGATGGGAAGCTGTTCCTGTGTTTGTCTTTAGTGTCATTATTTATACAATGGGGATGCTAGAAGTCTGTTCTCCAAGTTTGCCAAACTAAGGGGCAGTGAGGATGGTATGAGATACAGCTTTGAGAATGAGACGGTGAGGAGACTTATCTGTTCAAAGCTGATCAGTTTGTTTAAAAAATGAAGCAAAGATGAGTTTGTGCAGGGTCTTATGTATTGATACACACGCTGTATACAACTGTAAGTTTTACAGCTGGTTGGCGTTTCTGCCTTAAAGTGTGGAAAATCTGACTGTCTGGTTCAGTCTTGTCTATGCTGGTCCATCCCAGCGGTCCGAGCGCTGTATGTTTTGTTAGGAAAACTCATGTTCCCCAGTGTCAAATATGATCTACAACACCTCGTGCAGATGGACTGTGTCCTCGTTTGGTTTGTGCTGTGGGGCTCTGGCTTACATAAGGAGGAGTGCATGAGAAGAGGCTTGTGCGGTTCTCATAACTTACCATGTTTATCCTTTTTGTCCAATTTATTTCAGGGATGTACCTTTCTGACCTGACGTATATAGATTCAGCCTACCCTTCCACAGGTAGCATACTGGAGAATGAGCAGAGGTCCAACCTGATGAACAACATCCTCAGAATCATATCAGACCTGCAGAGATCTTGTAACTACGGTGAGACTCAGACACACGAGCAGAAAACTCTGTAAGGACTGGATATACAAGTTATTTCCTGTTTCATCATCTGAATAAATGCAGGTCATATATGTAGTTGTTCCAGAAATCTGACTATGTCCATAAAGAAAGAAGTTTGCTTTAGAGCTGACGCAAACTGTACAATTACTACTTACTGTAGTTTCCATTCTCAGAAACATCCTGAAGTAATCTGTATTTGAGTTTTGGTGAAATGAAATGTAACATTTTTGATTCAATATAAACACATGCCTGCATCTATGTTTAGGTTAAAAACAGCTGAAATGTGATATGGGTACGCAAATAAGAGTAAAAAAAACCAACATAAGGCGGGATAAATACACAATTCTCTTAAATAGGAAGAATAAATGCTAACTACCTGTTTCTTTCAAATGTTTAAATTATTATTATTGGAGAAAATTATTTTTGAAATCTGTCAAAAAATAAATATGTGCAGCAACCAAAATCCAAACAAGTATTTCTGGCATGAGTTTCATTTTGTTCTTTTTTTGTAATGTAAAAATATACAAAAACTTTTGGAAGTCTGGACTAATCTCAGTTTCTGTATCGAGTCCACACATTCTTGAAGTTTTGTTCCAGTTGTGCTGTTTTTTTTCCCCCCCACATTTAAAGCTAAATCTCACCAAGCTTCTAGCGTATGTGCCACAAGCAACAAAATCCTACCAGATAGCAATTACATTTTATATTTTATTTAAAAAAATTGATTGATCCTTCAGAAGGCTGTATAATGCAAAGCACAAAGTAAAATAGAAATTTAAAAAGCCTGTGTTTTATCTGTTTTTTTGTTTGTTTGTTTTTCAGATATTCCAGTTTTGCCTCACATACAGAAATATTTGAACTCTGTTAGATACATTGAGGAGCTGCAAAAGTTTGTGGAGGATGACAATTACAAGTAAGAAATCAGAAGATGCTTTTTTTTTTTTGCACAGAAAAAGATTCACAGATTTGTAAAATGCTAGCAGTGTTTGTTTGAGTTAAAAGTTAAAAGTCCTGCCGTAAAATGTAATTCTAGGGTAACGGGCACTTTGCACTGAACAGCAGTGGATATGAGCTGCTAAAAACAAAATCAGATCTGAGAGCAGATCTGAAATTGGTTTTGTTTGACTGGTTTCAGCACTTAGAAACTGCTTATTTTAGCTAAAACTATGAAGAAGAGACATTTGGAGAATGCTGTAGCTGTTCTTAAACACATAAAGAAAACTCTGGTTTTTGCTAGTGATACACCAAAATACTCAATCTAGTTGGCCAGTCTTGTTTTAGGATCTGTGTTATCCCAAAGCATTTATTCCTGTTTTTATGCTCATTCAGAGTCGACTGAATTATTTGCGATTGTTGCACTGATCATTTTTACACAGGTTGTCCCAGAGGATTGAACCAGGCACCAGCACACCTCGAGCCAACGCCTCCAAGGAGGATCTTGTTGGTGAGTTTGAGTCTAAACTCCCTGTGAGCACTCAAATATTCATGGTGCCTTCATGTTTTTTTATTCCGCGTACAGGTCAAGAATCATCATCTTCTCCTCTTTCTGGACGTAAGGGTTCAGTAACGGCTGAAGTCCCAAATACACCTCCATCCCCAAGGAACATGCTGCCCTACGGACACAGGAAATGTCACAGCCTGGGCTACAAGTGAGTGTTTATATTTTTTTGTATGCAGGAAGCAATTTCTTTCTATATGTTAATGAAGATGGTGTATTCCAGTATTCTAATGCCCTAAAGTAAAAATCTTAACTTGTGTCTGTGTTTTCTCTTCAGTTTTATCCACAAGATGAATACGGTAGAGTTTAAAAGCGCCACCTTTCCCAACGCTGGTTCTCGTCACCTGTTGGATGACAGTGTGTTGGAGAGCCACAGTCCCACCAGAGGACAGGCAGAGAGCTCAACACTTTCCAGTGGCATTTCACTCGGTAAGACGAAAACGTTTTTTGTCCCCTGTCGCAGAGTGGAGGGGACAGTCCATCTGTCTCCAGTTCATCTTACAAGATGGATAACTTGAAAAATAAGTGAGGTACTGTGTGGCTGCATCTAGGCGCAATGAAGGTCACTATCAAAAATTGGGTTGCCACATGAAAATCAAAGATGGCCAGTACCATATAAAGAGATTAAAGTTCTCCGTAGTCACATGGATTTCTGTTCTCTCTAACTCTAATGGTGTGGGTGTAGTGTCTTTTGAGATTGCCCATTTCACTATCAAACAAGATGTTAGGTGTAATGTCACTGTCCATAGTCCAAAATGCAACCCCCCCCCCCCCCCCAAAAAAAACAAAAAACAAAAAAAAACAAATGTTAAATAAAAACCATTTGATATATATCTAAAAAAGTTAAGTCTGGTCCTCTGGGCGTGTTCAAAAAACAATAAAAAATTGTAGAAACGTTTCATCTTTCATCAGAAAGACTTCTTCAGTCTTCAGTCTTTCGGATGAAAGACGAAATGTTTCTACAATTTTTTTTTGTTTTTTGAACACGCCCAGAGGACCAGACTTAACTTTTTTTGGACTATTCTACCTGGATTATTGAGCATGCATCAGAACATTTGAGAGATAGTTGCCCACTCCTGAACTCAACCACATGTTGTGAAATCATCCCTACGCCACCTAGTGGCAGTAAAATGATATTGTTTTTGAAAAGTTCTCTGACTCGCATGGTCAGTCTCAGCAGTTCCACCGAGCTCACAGACGAAGAGCTCGCAGACGAAGAGCTCGCAGACGAAGAGCTCGCA